CTCCCAGAAAAAGGTGTGACTCTTTGAAGACGAAGAAAAATCACAGGACAACGAGTCTTTGTTGATTGCTGATATGACAGCACTCAACATGCTTGTGCGCGGTGCAATGTGTCCGGCCTGTTGCCGTTTGGGATTACGTGTCCAGGAACCGGCCGACAAGTAGAAGGGACTTGCATCATTCGTGGAACTGCACTGCCATAATAGTGAGTGCCCCGAAACTATTCTTTCGGTGACACATACTTTGCAGCGAGTAGCTTCGAGTGGGGAGGCCAGCGTGAGTGCGGCGGGTGACGGACTGACCGTGAGAAGACCATACGACAGCAGGTTCTCACGCGATAGCTACATTTTAAATGTGAAAGCTGTTGTGGTGGCACGCTCCATAGGCATGGGCTACGAGCAGCTGGTCCGATTTGCGGCAATAGTTGGCTTGCCAAAGTCAATGCTCCATAAATCATTTACTGCAATCAGCGGGAAAGTCTGTGATGCGGCAATGGATGTCATTGGCGCAATCTTGCGAGGTCGAGAAAGCTAACAGTGGAGGAAGTTGGGGGACGACGACATTGCCATTATGTATGATGGTACGTGGCATAAACTCAGCCACAAGAGTCACAATGGCATCAGAACTGTTGTGTTCCTCGACACTGAACTTTGTTTGGGTTTCGAAGTCCTGTCAAACTTCTGCCTAGCTTGCAGTAGGCACAAGGCTGTGCCAGATGAAGAGGAATAAGTTTGGCAAGCATTTCATGGCCCTGCCTGCGAGCGAAATGTTGACTGCTCAGCCCATGTGATGGAAGCAGAAGCTGCAGTGGACATTCGGCAAAGGAGCAAAACTTATGACGCACCATCGCGATTCACTAAATTTCTCACTGACAGCGACTCAAAAGCGTACACGGCAGTTTTTAAAGCGAAGGCATATTGTGATGCTGTTACTCTTGAAAAAGAAGACTGCACAAATCACGTAGCTAAACGCCTCGATACGCTCTTCGCAAACTCGAAGAGCCACTGCCAAGAGGGGAGAAAGAAGCTAAAAGATATTGTGATACAGAAGCTGCAAACCTACTATCAAGTGGGCATCACAAGCAACAGGGGCAGCAATAAAGCCATGCACCAGATGCTTTGCACTTCCTATTTTCATTGTCACTCAACAGATGATGCAAACACCCACGAACTCTGCCCAGATGGACCAGAATCCTGGTACAAGCACAAGCGTGCTAAAGCCTTGGGCAAACCAGCATCGACTCACACACCCCTGATCACCAAGGCCCAGGGAAAGGCAATTTTCCCCTATTACAAGAGTCTAACCGAGAAGCTACTGACCCGCTGTATTCAGGGCAAAACTCAGAATGCAGCGAAGTCACTAAGCAGCAAAATTTGGCTCCTCTGTCCAAAGACACGATTTGCCGCAAGACATGTTGTGGAGATGGCCACTGCTATGGCTGTTCTCTAGTTTAATTGAGGACACTCCAGTTTTGAACGTGTTCTGCAAGAGCTTGGCGTGATCCCACCTCATGATCTGGTCGCTCTTGGCATATCATGGGACAGCACGCGCCAGCCAAAAATGTCTCAAAAACTAACAGGAAAAACTAACAGGAGAAGCAAGGGCTCGTCGACGTGCACTGAAGAAAAAATTTCTCGTCGAGGAGTCAGCTCGAAAGAGCTGCGACTGCCAAACCTATGGTGCTGGCACATCTTAATGGCAGTTTCCGCTACAAGGAGGATTGTTCTTTCTTGTGTATAAATTTCTTTGCATTTAATGAGAATTTTGATAAATAAACATGCAATTTTCACTTGAAAAGTTGTTTTTCTCAACACACAAATTTTGCCAGTTTTTAATGTGCCCTCCTTTTTTTTGGTACTTTAGCTACTCTGATCGGCATGAAATTTTGCCCAATTTTTTTAAAGTACGAGAAATACAATTATCTTGTTTGAGTTTCAATATTCTTTTTATATAATTTAAAAAAAATATGTAAACATTTACTAGGGTAGAAGAAATATGAACTTCCCGCGTAAAACTTTTTCACGTCTAGTACATATTTTGTATGGACTTCTTAATTAGTTATTTGGATTGTACACTTTGTTTGAAATATGAAGTATCAATGGTGAAAAATTATTGACATTAAGTTATGAAAGGAGGGGGGGGGGGGGGGGGCAAAAGGCTTCAGTTTTCCACTTTGTCATGTTGCAGAACTACCGTATTTACTCGATTCTACCGCGCCCTCGATTGTAATGCGCACCCGATTTCCACCGCGGAAAAAAAAAAAAAAAACGTAAGACATCGATTGCAACGCGCACCCATTTTTCTCGCTGGCCCGCACGATCACACCACTCAAAAAAAAAAAACAACTCCTTTCGGGAGCGTCTTCCATTTAAATATGAGGTACGGGCGAAGCTTGTGCCCATCTGACGTGTAACAGAGCATTGCCGTCGCTGTAGTTTTACCGTGGACCGATGTCAGCACGCGAACTTGCTTCGCCTCCTTCTTCTCGACGGTTGTGGTGCCAGGCATGTCGAAGGAAAGAGGCGTCTGATCGGCATTCCCGATTTGCCCAAGCAGGTAGCCGTTGTTGCGCCGCATGTTTAGGACGAACCTCTGAAAACTGTGCTTTTCATCGTACTCCTCCGCAAAAGTTTTCGCATATGCATGTTCCCCTTCGGAGGGAAAAGCCTTTCCTCTTCATAATGTTAGTTTGCCAGCACCTGCTCGCTTTAAACTGGCTCCGCATTAGACCTTTTTCTAAGACTAATTGCATAGCCCGCACTTGGAGCAGTTCTGTCATCACAGGCCGCTGGGCCGCTCGCTGCTCAAGCACATACTCGCCGAGCAGCTCTTTAATTAGCGGAAACCGACCCTTCTGTGGTCCACTGAAGCCTTTGCGTGAAGCTTTGCTGTCGACAATCTTCTGCTTTTGTTTCCCCCGGTCCCGCACGCACGTTTCGGGAACTCCGAACGACCGCGATGCGGCCCGATTTCCGTCCGTTTCTGTACACGCGATGACTTTTCTTTTGAAAGCGGCATCGTGGTGCACTCGGGTTTTTGGAGTCGGCCCTTCCACGCCGTCGATGCTAATGCACTATTAGATGACGAACTCCTCAGCGCTCGTACGAAGTGCCGCACATGGGAAACACATAGGCAGAAATGGCCGACGCGCCATGACGGGGCACATAGGGGGCGGCCATTTTGGATTTGCCGATGGCAATAGATTGACCGTAATTTTTTTGTTCGTACTCGATTCTAACGTGCATGCGATTTATGAACTCGCTTAACCGGAAAAATGGTGCGTGTTAGATTCGAGTAATTACAGTAAAAGTGTGCAACTTGCAAGAAAACTAACTATATATTTAAAATTAGCATAAAAAGTTCTATAAACAGCGCAAGTTTAATTGCTCCAGGGTGAATATTAAAGAAAAAAAAAGTGTCTTCAAGTAGCATCTTTCCTTAAGGCCACATAGTGGGTGCATAGCAAATTCAAAAAGGTTTCATGCACTAAGTGTTTGAAGTACGCACTAGGAACAGGATTTTGCTATTGCGTTCAACTGCTAAAGTCGAAGCTTTAGGGTCCCCTAATTTCTCACTCCGGCACTTTAAGTTAACTCGCTCCTGCTTTGACTGCCCAGTGATATGTGTACTGACACCTACCAGAATATGGCAAAGCACCAAGATGAATCCTGGTGGCTTGGGCAAGTTAGGAAATCATGACAAGAGTTATAGCACAAAATTAGAAACAATGAAGATGGAACAGACCATGACAAGTGCTACTTTCAGCATTGTTGCTTATATCTTTTTCATTATCTGCATAATAAACTCAGTTGAAGTTAACACTTGTCCTCATTTGTTCGTTCTTTCTTTCCAGTTTGCGCTATAACTTTCATCATGACCGAAATGAAGCCAGCTCATCTATGTATTGCGAGAAGTACCACCAATCAGCTGAGCTCAGCCTTGGTCATTTTTACTGGGAACATGTGGATGAGTTCACCCATGAAATGGAAGGGGTTAAAACTCTCCCTCGGACACAAGTTATATACTGAGAGAAATGACTAGCTGCTTTTGTAATGTCTTCCAAAAAATTATCAACTAGTACCTAATTTACCACTCAGGAGCAGCACGTTATTAGACCGTTTACAGTGGAGTTACAGGGAAGGCAGAAACACATTACCTGATCCAGATGCATTCATATACAAACTGTTTTATTTCTATGTTTCTAGGTATCTAAAAACAAAACAGTTGTAATGCAATGTGGTATTATGGGACTTCAAGATTTACCAGAAATAGACATCCTTTCGAATATATTTAAAATATCATTAGTAAACAATAACATTATTAATAAATAACATCTGTATATTTTTCTGTATGAACATTTTTGCATAAGAATAATAAACGAATTTCAATTTGAATTATATTAGTGTACAACCCTTGCATATATGACCAGAGCAGAAGCAGGTCAGAATTGGGTTTCATCCTTTAACAAAAAAAAATAAAAGGAGCAATTTCAAGACTGCTGCCTTTCAGCACGTACAGGCAAAAGGGCGGGCTGCCACTTACCATACCTCTCACAGTGTGAGGGCTTTGGGGGCAGCCATTATCAGTTCCACTCTTATCCAGGCAAGCCTCAGCAGTTGTCAAGCTGCATAGTGAAGAAAGGTCTTATCTGTACTCTGGGCCTCTCGCTGAACTCAGTGGCTGTTCTCTTTGCATGGGTAAAACAGCAGTAACAGCAGTTGTCTGTCTATGCGATGCATCCTCAGGCAAAATAACCTCTACCCTGTGGTCTCAAGCTGATAACATAAAACTCACTTGAAGTGCAGTGTTCTCACAGTCTAGACGAGGTTCCTGGGTGTAGAATGTGTGGTTTCATGTCACCACACCAATTTTCAAGGAAATTACTTGTTCATGGCTTCTGCTCTCCCAAAAGCTTCTACAGAGGCCTCCTTGGTGCGTCTGAATGCTGACTCCTGCTTTTCTTGTGTTCTTATTAATCTGTCACATTGTATTTTTAATGCAGTTGTCATGCCGAGACCTACTGGCATTGGACTTTGAAGGAGTGCTGAAACACTTTCGAGTTGCTGTCCCCAAAAAATATCGCTCCGAAGAGGCTGCAAGATTGCTTCTCAAGACAGCTGTTGGCATAAAGGTGAATAGCTACAAGTTGACTTGCTAAAAATTTATGGAGAAGCACTAAATATTAACTAGTGCCTGAAGTTTGAAAGGCTTTTGATCTGCTGTAGCTGATATACTGGAGCTGTTGCTGATGCAGTCGTGTGTAGCGAGAGGTTTTTTTTTTCTTTTTTTTTCCATTTATGTCTAAGTTTATCAGGGGAAATCATACAAAATAAAATACTTTTTACAATATATGCACCTTTGTGGATCTAATGTAGTATTACGAAAAACACTGAGCTGCGTACTGCTGTATACAATATGAAAATGGCACAGAAATCGATGGTACGTAGGACACAGGAGCCAACTTCCAGCAAAGGCTTATTTGAGTGGGCGTGAAATATATAGGAATAGAAAAAAATAAAAAGCATGCGAGAATAAGCTTTTCTTGAAAGTCAAAGCGTGTGTCTATTTTACTAGAGCTGTGCAAATAGCGATATTTCGGGTGCGAAGTGAATACGAATACTGAAGTTGAGTGCAAAACGGGTCGTAAATTTTTTGTATAGTTGTCGAATATTTGTGTAATATTTTTATAACGAAAGGAAGTGAAAGTACAGAAAAAAGGTTGCAGAGGGTTTCTAAGCACATTAATGTAAGATAGCAACATAGAAGTGTTTATTTTGGCTTGGTTGGTGAAGTGCTGATGGGATGGTGTTTCCTAGTTTTGCCAAGGATGAGGCAACACAGAAGTTGAACTGTACTAATTTACATAATTTGGTGCAACTAGTGTGGTGTCGCAACACTTTGAACATGAAATGAGAAGACTATTTTCTCCACCTCTCCTCTCCTTCAACTTACTTCTGTGGAGGCCCAACTGATTTGGCTGACAAGGCCGCACTCCCTTATTCGGAGTTCCCAGTCTGCCTCACAGACGTCACCATATAAGAACATTTGTAATTTAGGGTGCTGAAAATTTTCGGCGTCTAACTTTTCAGACTTTTTGCCCAAATGTCAGGTACAAAATGGCATTATTTGAGCCCTCTGATCTGCTGAGTCTATCAGCTGAATGTTGGAACCAGCGTTCTTTATGAGCCAAAGTCATTTGTACTGCAGCCAAGTTTAAAAGGCAGCTTCGCCACAATACGGGAGTGTGATGGGGTGAAGCATATTAAAAAAAAATGTGAAGGGGCCTTTGTCAGTCGAATGTTGACTGTATTTGTCTTTGGAAGGTTCAAATACTTCGAATAGTAAAATTTTAGTGCGAATCAAATTGAATAGCAAACAACATCCAAAAAAATCTTCAAAAGTTTGAATATTTCGTCACTCCGATTTTTGGCCCTTAATTTCTGTCCTATTTTCATACTGTGTGCTATACAGTATGTCTTTGTGCTAACAAGCCTGTGAACTCCCCATTTTGAAGCACTAAACAGCAATTGCAAGGACTTGTAACTGCCCTAAAGTCATGACAGAAAGGTTGCATTATGAATAAAGTGTGTTCGTTGAAAGCTGAAAAGCAACTCGTATGGAGGAACAGTAGTCATACTGGGGGACGTTCATCTGTATAGAAGTGTTATGTACTTAATGCTTATGTAACTAATAAATTGAAAATTAAAGAAAACTTTTAAAGAAAGTTTAATATTGCATATACAAATTTAGTGTGTTATCTTTACTTGCAGGTGAAGAAGTTGAAACGATACGAGCGTGAGTACCAACTGCACAAAGAGCAACAATGTCAGATGGAGGATCCTGTGCAGGTGCTGCAGGTAATTAGTGTGGGTTATTGGATTTTACATCTCATGATGCACTTCTCATAACTAGAGAAAAACCTGAAAGTGGGGATACACATTCTTGATTTAAATCATTCGACAACTTCGGTGGAGATAGCCTTTTCTGTGTCATACATACCACAAGAGTTTTTCACACTATTCCATCCTTTAGAAGGGCTCGTATAGGACAAATAAAAATATTCACCAGCAAAATGTACCTAGACAGTGCAAGCGGTTATTAAGAGGATGTGTTCTTTCTTGACCTTCATTGTAGTCGTCATTGTCATCCAACCTTCAACAGCTCTGAAGGTACTTCTTGCACAAAAATCACTGTAAGCGAAATATCAGAGAACTTTTTTTAATAAGTGGGGTTTTAAATCCCAAAACCATGAAATGATTATGAGAGACGCCGTAGTGGAGGGCTCCGGGTATTTCAACGATCTGGCGTTCTTTAACGTGCACCGACACCGCACAGTACACAGACCTCTACCATTTCGCCTCCATCGAAATGGGAGAAATATAAGTTAGGTACACCATTTTGTGGGATAATTCTGTTCAAGTACATTTATGCTACTACATTAAATATATGCTATATTCAACAGCTAGAAAAAGCAGCTCAGTCACTTTGCTGCAAACATGTTTTATTTTTTGTTTACATTTCTCCTTTGTCCACTTAAATTGGCAAATGCCACTTTTTTGGCATCTGCCTGAGTGATTTATAGGAGTGGACAATCAGCGAGCTGGCGATTCATGATCTTGGTACACTACTGAGAGGATAACGGAAATGACATCTCTCCGCCCTTTTTGTCATCTCTGTTTTATTCTGCAGCGTGTACCAAGAGCAGGGTTGATGCACTGAAGTGCATCAATTTCACGAAAACACAATACCACGGTTAAACATCGACATAACAAGCTTCAGTATAATGCTATTCTTCATATAAGGAGGTGGCGTTTTGTAACGTCATGCCCAGAGAACATAGTATCTCGTAACCTCAATATAGTGAACTATGTTTATTCGTGATTTCAGTTCTACATTGAAGTTTCACTGCTACTTTGAAGAAAGAGCAAGGCAGTAAATTAAAACCTGCTAGTACTGTAGTAGTAAAATAGTTTAATTGCACAGGGTCTTTGTGAAGGCATTTTCAAAATTGTGTTCCATGTGACAGAAGAGCCTCAACAGCAAAGCAACTGCTGGGGGTCAATCGTAAACCTGATTGCTAATTTTTCTCGCCTCTAGACCAAGAACGTGCATAAAGGTACCTTAGCGCACCGTATTGAGCACTTACAACTGATCTAGAATTTCAAATTTTGTGCCACCCGTGCCTTGCATCAGCACCCGATGTGGTCTTTTCGTTATCCCTGTGTGTTACGTGACAAGGATGAGTAGCCTACAAGGTCTAGCGCTTAATGGGCTTTGACTCATCTTGCTTGTGATCACGGTCATTCAGGAAGCAGAAGTAGCAGACGGGGCTAGTATCTTGCAAGCAATGAAATAAATTAGTCATTTCTTTGAGGATGTCACAGAGCTTCCTTTTCAATATTTTAAACATGTAAAGGCGAGTTTACGCTAGAGCGACACGACAGTGACACGAGTCTGACGAAGACACGAAGTAGACGCAGACCATCAGCCGCCGACTCACCCATCGACGAAGTTGCCAGACCGCCTGGTCACACTAGGCTGGCACTGACGCCGCCTCAAAAGGCAGCATGTCATTGTAGTGTAACATGATGAGAGACCGAAAACACCAGCAAAACGCATCCGCAGACCTGTCGTCGGCATGTCTTCAGGAGATGGGTGGCTGAGCAAAATTTTTGCTATGTCTTTGCTTCAAACAATCACAAAGGTGGTAATCTTGGGGGAGTTAACAAGCCACGTCTAAATAGGCATTTTGAGCACCCAGTGGAAGTCTTTTCTTTGCTTCTCTATTGTGTACACCAATCCCGTCCCTCGTCACCGTGAATTATGGGACTATGGCCTGAGAGGGACAATGGGGCTGAAAATGAGGTGCAGGTGTGCAAGTTTAGCTGGTGCGTGTGCCTTCAATGTGATACAGAATCGGCCAACAAAAAACTGTGAGCGGCAAGGCGCGGGCAGACTCTTCGAAAGACCACCTGCGGACTGTTTGCGTCTTTGCAGTGTACATAGGACAACGACAACACAAAAAACACTCCCAAAGACAGTCCACAGACCAAAATCGGTGTCGTGTCTCTCTAGTGTAAACGCACCTTAAGATGCTATTCTGGACTACTCTCTCAAGAACAGGATACGTTTCTTGCAAAAGCAATCAGAACAGGCGTTTTTTTTTACCATATATGGAAGTTTCTTTTATTTTTGGTAGTGCAGTGCAGCAACAACTTTTACGAGGCTGACTTTTTTAGTGCTGTTCACAGTCGCTGACCACACCACTACTAGCTTTGTAAAATTACCCAGGTGGTTTGTGATTAAGCGGTTTGACATAGTACTCCTTTTAAGGCACCGGGTCTTCCTACATTCTTCGGACGTATGTCGGCGTGATGTCACAAAATACAAAACTCTGGCACCAAATCGAGTGGCCATAACTAACTCGGATTTTCGCATCGCTTTCAGAGAACTTTGGAGCAATGCTTTTTTTTATGCTTGTAATGTTTTTAGGTGTTGTGTGTTTATCAGACTACATGTAGAGCAAGTGGTTCAGTTCAGGGAACATGATAACATCCCATTGTGCCACTCTAGGCAATGCCAAACTTTTGACAACAAGCTGTGGCAGCAAAATAAGTGCAGTAACATCGTTTATCACTTGTTGCCACAGTGCATTGTACCAGCTTTTTGCTACATTTTATGCGTAATTTAACACCACTGTCAAGACTACACCGGTGCTGCGTCCAGTCGTAGTCATCCTTTAAAAAAATCTATATCTTTAATGTTATTCAAATTAGCGTTTTTTCTAACCACACCATCATTTAAACACTCCTCTGGCATTTTGATGTAAAAAAAAATCCTTCGTCGAGTATACTTGGGATAAAAGGTGGAACTTCAGCTCTACGAAATTGCAATAGAACAAAGTAAATTGCCACACTTTACTGACTTCATTATATCTAGGTTTGACATAATTAAAAGACATCCATTGTGTCCTTTTCAAAATACCAGCAAGGCAAGATTATTAGCTGGAAGTTACATATCTTTGGTTGAAACATTTAGCTATTTGCTTATATGTAGGTGGCTCACAGTGTGACTCATGCTTTCGTTTATGTTTAGACATGGAATGAACAGCGGCATTCCCAGTGAGTGCTGGCATTGTGTAAATAGAATGATCAAAGTTCTTGGAACACTGAGATTTTGATAATAAGTAAAACATCATTTGTTAATTGATCGTACACTGCAGGATGAGACAGCTGTGTGGATAAAGGTAACACAATTGAACACCTTACAACACACTTGCAGCGGCCACACTCGTAGCAAAACAGTGTTTGTTTTATTATGAAAAAAAGTAGCACGAATACTCGCAGTTGAATATGACACTTTACTGGTAAAGTGTTTTTTTTTTTTTTCATGTTTCATGCACTAGTGTGCTTGTGTTCATGTTGTGGTCATACTGATTTCTGTAATTTATTGCTGGACAGATCAGAAGAAAAAAAATGACAAGAGAAAGAAACCTGGTCTTTACATAACACATGTTTGTTTAAAATCCAGTCAGCACAAAATGCAGTATACATCATGCAAATGCCTCAAAATTTCTGGTTTTAATTTTTTTGAAATTTGGCATATTTTATTTGGATTTTATTTTCAATTTGGAGTTTTGTATCTTTCACTTAATATATTTTTACTAAGAGAGCTCCTCTGGATAATTGTTCTCATAAAGCTCACAGGTTTTTTTTTTTTTTTTTGTTACTAGTAATTGGTTCACTAAACCTCTTGATGATGAAACTTCTGTAAACTGCAGATTGTGTCCGGTACATGTAATAAGAAAGTTTTCAAAAAGCTGTCTAGCGAGCACACAAGGCAGCGAGCTGCATTTCAGTGCATTGAGCACCTGAACACAAACACAGTCTTTATTCATAGCATTCTGTGGGTGTATTGCCCAATTAATCAACTGCAGTGTCCACAACACAGACTTGTTTCTGCAACAGGCATTTCAGTGACACAATTTGCATCCACGCAATGTATTTTCTTTTTCTTTGTTTTTTTTCTAGAAAGAGAAACAGCGGCTTATGGAGAGCAATATGCGTCTGGAACGAGAAAATGATGAGTTGGCGCACGAGCTGGTGACAAGCAAAATTCAGCTACGCAAGGATTTAGATGCTGTAAGTTATGATTTCCATTTAATGTTAATATTGTATGCCTAAAAGAATGCAGTTTCATTGCATTATCTGCAGATGGTATGGATAATTGGTGATAAGGCTTTTCTACTCAGATTTAGTTCATCTTAAGATGAAGATCTGAGTACTTTCTAAGCTGGCTTATAAGGTACACAACTTTACAATTTGTTTTTTATATAGTGAAGTTTTTAAGCATAAATTCACCGTATTCCTTCCACTCTCAGGGGAAATAATACCAGAGATGCTATGCCAGTTCTTCCATGGCATTTACCGAACCACTTACCAATCTGCCATGAGCTAGTTTGGTAAGTGCAGGGCAATTCGAATCGATCATTAGTCTTCTCTATGTTTAATCTGCATTATGTATTGGACAGGTTTGTAAAGTGACCAGTGGCACGATGGGTGCCCGGCAGGCTTGGCTGCTCCATTTCAATGAATAAAAATAATTTTGTGTGCTCATTAAAGGGCAAATAAAAGTGGCTTTTTAGAATAAAATAAGGTAGACTCTAGAACTTCTTCAGCACAAGTTTCAGAAGCTGTTGAAGTGGAAATGGCAACCTACAGTCACAGAATAATCTGGCAAATAAAGGTACTGCAGGTTTTTTTTGTTTTGTTTTCACGCCCGAAATGAGTCTCTTTTCCCCATGAATTTGCTTTTATTAGTAGAATGCCACAGATGAGGAGTAGTTCTTTGATAGCATTTGTGTGTATACTGTGTCATTTAATGGCTCCAGCTTCCGAGAAAGCTGTTTTTTTTTTATAGAGTGTTTGGCGAAAGCAATGTAGAGGTCAGACACTTCTGAATTTTATAAATGGCAACACAAAGTGGGGCGGCTGCATCAGTGCTGAAAACTTTTCCGCTGCCAGAATCTTAGTGTTTTCGGATATTTATTCATATCAAGTTGACAACTAGACCTGGAAAGCTCTAATGAGTTGTTAGAGTGCAAGTTTAGTACTGATAATTGCTAGCAAAATTTTGATTGCTAGCAAAATTTTGAACATCCAGTTACCTGTATCGCATGGACGTGGCTTGAACAAAAGTGCTCTGCACTTCTTTTTTCACCACATACTAGCAATAATGTGTCTCATGAAAGCGGTACACAACAAAGCATGCCTGAATTTCATTCCGAAAAAAAAAATATTGATTGATTGATATGTGGGGTTTAACGTCCCAAAACCATCATATGATTATGAGAGACGCCGTAGTGGAGGGCTCCGGAAATTTCGACCACCTGGGGTTCTTTAACGTGCACCCAAATCTGAGCACACGGGCCTACAACATTTCCACCTCCATCGGAAATGCAGCCACCACAGCCGGGATATAAAAAAAAAAAAAAACTGCGCTTCTGTAGACTGTTTCTGTGGGCTTGCACATCTGTAATTTGGAAATGTGAGGAAATAGGTATTAGGTATCAATAATAGAAAAGCAATAAATTAACTGGTGATATAGGGATATTGTAATAATTAAAGTTGTTTACAATAAATTATTAATAAATAATTTTGTGAAATATTTGTGCATGAAAAAAAAAGAACATTTGGGAAACGAGTTTGGTGTTTGTGTTCCTTTCAATCTCTTCCACCCGTATGCATAATTTCTGAACAAAGCCAACTGTATGACATCATGTATAGCCGATGTTTGCTAAATGTAGGTGGGACTTAGGTAGTTAAGACCAATGTTGGTTTATTTATTCACAAAGCAACAATAATTTACAAGAAACAAGTATTGAAAAACTCAGAAGTGGTGTGCTCAAGTCCGTGAATATGGGATATCAATCCACACACTGCTCTGCTGGCATGTTTGTTCCCATCACATTCCTCAAGGTGCACATTAACATCAACAATGCATGATAGAAACAGTGAAAAACAAACTTCTTATATTCAAAGCAAACTCCTTTTGTTGTAATGTTCTTGCTACTGTATTGACAACAATGCATGTTATGTAATGCTCATGGGCAGAGTATTGACTAGGTTTGTATTTTTTGTAGGCTGAAGATAAGGCAGACCTCTTGGGAAAGGAACTGCAGACAGCTGCTGCTTCATTGGCAGAGCTTGAAGAAGAGAAGCGTCGATTGGACACTGAAGTGGGCCAGGTGCGTTCCAACTCCATAACTCAGCCCTGTACAGGAAGGCACAGTTAAACCAGGGTCCTTCAATACTTTTATGCTGGTCATGAAACTTCCACAGAGTGCAATTCGAGAATCCACTGTTTCTGCACCACGACGTTGCATAGCTAGAAGGGGATGTTATAAGAATTCTAGGTGCCGTAGTTACCTTAGTATACACTACATATGCTATATGAAATGCTACAGGCATTATAAGGTGAATGCTCATAGCATCCATCTATCTGTTCATCCATTCAGGCAGGGCGGCAGCTGGGGCAACCATCAGCAGAGTGTGGGTGCAGCGTACTGCTGGTATTTGTTTCACATCAGGGTTCTCCCCACTGTGGGTGGACGTGAAGTTTCCATTCACCGCTCCGATTCACCCCTTTGAAATGCACCCCCTTAAAACCACTAAGCAACTGCGCACTTGCAACTCCAGTAAGCCATGCCACTTGCCATCTGATGAAGTCTGACAGGTGGCCTTGCGGTTTAAAGATCGCCAACTATAGTGACACAGGACTACAACAAAGTGCTCTTGCTTTCGTCTTCTATGCGTGTCATAGATGTCAGAAATCTGCAGTGAAAGATTAAATGTGAATGTGGATTGAAAGTTTTTAAAACTTAAAATTATTAAACTTTATATTTCTTCCACCTCCACTCTCAAAATGTCCAACCCAGCAAACTTCTTCAAGAGAACAATGTTTCAAGTCAATTAGAGAAATTTGTGTTTAGGGATTCTCCATAAAAGTGATGCCGGACCCTTGCTGTGTCAGGGCTGCTGCTGCGAAAAAAGGCCGCCAACAAAGAACTTTAGTTATTCAGTTTTACTAGGTTATGTGGAATTACGTCATACTTAGAAGTGAGCCATCCCGTGACAAGATGCTACTGGGTTATCATTTCAGTCCAAGTACATTTCAAGAAGAAGGGCGTAAAGCAGGGGGACACAATCTCCCCAATGCTATTTACCGCGTGCTTACAGGAGGTTTTCAGAAGCCTAGAATGGGAACAGTTAGGGATAAGAGTTAGTGGAGAGTACCTTAGTAACCTGCGCTTCGCCGATGACATTGCATTGCTGAGTAACTCAGGGGACGAATTGCAACTCATGATTACAGAGTTGCAAACGGAGAGACAAGGAGAGCAGAAAGGTGGGTCTTAAAATGAATCTGCAGAAAACGAAAGTAATGTACAACAACCTCGGAAAAGAGCAGCGCTTCGAGATAGGTAATAGTGCACTTCAAGTTGTAAAAGACTATGTCTACTTAGGGCAGGTAATAACCGCGGAGCCGAACCACGAGATTGAAGTAACTAGAAGAATAAGAATGGGGTGGAGCACATTGGCAAGCACTCTCAAATTATGACAGGTAGATTGCCACTATCCCTCAAGAGGAAGGTATATAACAGCTGTATCTTGCCGGTACTTAGCTGTGGAGCAGAAACTTGGAGACTTACAAAGAGGGTTCAGCTTAAATTGAGGACGACGCAGCGAGCAATGGAAAGAAAAATGGTAGTTGTAACCTTAAGAGACAAGAAGAGAGCAGAGTGGATTAGGGGACAAACGGGGTTTAAAGATATCATAGTTGAAATAAAGAAGAGGAAATAGACATGGGACGGGCATGTAGCGCGTAGACAGGACAACCGCTGGTCATTAAGGGTAACAAACTGGATTCCCAGAGAAGGGAAGCTGGTTAGGTGGAGACAGAAGGTTAGGTGGGCAGATGAGATTAAGAACTTTGCGGGTATAAATTGGCAGCAGCAAGCACAGGACCGGGTCAGCTGGCGGAACATGGGAGAGGCCTTTGTCCTGCAGTGGACGTAGTCAGGCTGCTGCTGCTGATGGTGATGATGATGATGATGACGACGACATTTGAATGCTCGAGAGACATTACTAAATGTGATCTTTGAACTGAATCCATCATATTGGAGCAGCGGTTAAGGTGCTCGGCTGCTGATCTGAAAGTCGTGGGTTTGATTTGGGCAGTAGCGGTTGCATTTTGATAGAGGTGAAATGGTAGAGACCCGTGTACTGTGAGATGTCATTGCACATTAAAGAACACCAGATGGTCAATATTTCCGTAGCCGTCTACTACGAGGTCTCTCATAACAGTAGAGAGTTTTAGGAAGCTACGGAAACAGGTTATGGTAACCCGACACGGTTCCTTTCCGTATGCGCGTACAATGGTTGCGCGTGCGCACTCGTCAGCCGGTTCTGTGTTGTCGCTTTTCCGTAACGTGTTTCCATAGCTTGCTAAAACTCTCTAATATCATGGTTTTGGGATGTAAAGCCTCACATATTTTTTATGATCCTTGAACTGATGGCCTCTGTGACACTGACTGTATGTGGACGAAAGCTGAAGACTGTCATGGAAGTATAAACTGATCATTGTTATAAAGTTTGTGTGTGTCAATACAAAAGCTTACACTTGGAAACAATATCTAGATCTAGCATGTTCAGCTCACAGCTGTTTTTGATATCATTGCCAAGATGGCTCCATGTTCTAGTTTGCTTGTTCCACAAGCAACGTTAATCTGCAGATCTGTTAGACTTATTCATAATGTACTTCAAAATTTAAACATAACTTTAAACAACTACCCCAGGATTTGAAATGTAGGTATAGGTATGACCACAAGGGAAATTGCATTTCTTGACATGCAGCTGTGGTCAAATCATTGCTAACGATTAAAGACTTGGGCTGGTAAACAACTCTGATGCTATATTTAATTCATCAACACTCATCACTGCTATGTTCAATTAGCAAACATAGGAAAAAATTGACAGGGGGAAAGCAAGTTTGTCAAGAAATAATTTGGTTTTACTTGGTTTTGGAAAGGCTGGACCACTAGCCTGCTTGACTGTTCCCAGTGACACTCATTGTGAGCCACAATGCTCGAAGGCCATGCTCTTTTCTTCATTTCAGTCCTAGCAAAGCAGCTGCCAGATTATATTATGATGAATTATTATTATGCTAAATTATTTTATACTTCACTATGATTTCTAAGTAAATTTGAATGCCCTTGGGATGGGAGGTAAATAAAATAAATAAATAAATGTCACCTGTCTTTAGGTATAGATTAAAATATCCATCTTTGTCGTTCATTTCTCAGTCACTTTTTCTTTCCCTCAAACAGCTGAAGGAGATGTGCCGACGTGAGCTACAAAGGGCCGAAACTGAATCTGTGCGCAACACTGCCATCCTGGCAGAGTACAAACAGGTTAGACTTTTTTGTTTTTGTATATTGTGCCATCTTATACCCTGTCAACTGATGCACAAAGCAATCTTTTTTTCTCTAGAGTTAATTGCTAATGGAGTGCTAAATGCTTTAAGTGAAAGTATCTTGAGTCACCTGCATATGTAAATAAAGTTTTGACAGTATTAGTGCTTGATACTGTTGTCTGTATGTATGAGTTGCTTTCAACGTTAAAGGGGCCCTGAAACACTTTTTTGAGCGTGGTCAGAAAACGCTGCAGATTGTTAGTTGAGGCTCCCGAGAACATGCACAGCCTAGGAATACGCTGCCTTGGATTTACTATTTAATCTCAAAGACAGCTAGAAATGGCTCCTTTTTCTCTCTACAAATAATGCCTTATAACCAAAATTTCTGTGCTATATACCCTTGTCCACTGCGGTTTCGCTGCTTTGCTGCTTAGTTACCATGGCCACCATAAAATGCCACCACAAAACCACGCATGCGGTTGCAATTGCTCTGAAAGTAAGCCGTGCATTCAAAGAAAAAAAGCAAGAAAAGAAAGTGCTGAAGGTCATGATGTGTGCTGACGAAGGGGCACATATTCTTCCGCCTTGTCATCCCCCAACCTGCATAGCTTTGAGCACCCTCCCTGGCATGAAAGGAGAGAGCAAGCGCTTCAAGCGTGTGATAATTATCTGCAACTTCGCTCGTACTTGAATGATCCTAAAATTTTTGCGGCATGTGATTCATGATACGTTAATGCACTCACAGCTAGACACTATAACTGCGAAAAGTGTTGCAGGACCTTAACGAAGCTGTGCAACTGTATGATGAACTATATTTGGTGTACTAATTTAGTTAACTTAAATTAGTCCAACCCTGATGGCACTATTTTTCACTGTTTTCCCCAATCTAGTACACTTGCAAATTGAATAAGCATTTATATTTTATAAGTACAAAGTACAAAATGGACATAAAAAGGTCAGTGGAATACATAAACATCATAGAAATTGAATTTGCTTCCAATATTTCAGTGTAATAACATAGCATTTCTCTGGTTCTGGAGACTTACTGCTGGACGAAAAAATCGCCGCAAGTAGTTTTTCTGCTATAGGGTAATTCTACGACAGATAGAACATGAATCCACACTTGATATTTTTGTCTTGTTTTTTTATTTGTTTTGTAAGAATATTCAAAGTGCATTAAACCAAAAATTTTATTTCCAGAAAACCCTTTGAGCATGCCAAAAAAAAAAATTGAAGAGTGTGGTGCAGGGATTTCTTTAATGCTTACCGTAACATTTTCCAATTTCACAGACAAACATTATGCAGAATATAAATGTTCTAGTATTGACAAAATTTTTATTCTAGTTTTAATATGCATGACTGTGAATTACATCTATGCTTTCTGTAAAAGAGACAAAAATGTGAAAGAATGACAAACATGGCCCAGATCATAAGAGTTTGCCGACTTTAATGCTCCTTGGCATGTTTCCTATTTCACACAGAAACTTAAAAAAAGTGTCAAATATAGAAAAACATTTTTCTCAACACTTTTTCAGAAAACTGTCTTCCTACAGGCAGTGTAAAAGAAGAAAGGATAGTTAAAGCTAGTTTTTAAAAAAGAAAGCTCATGAAAAAAAGTTTTCTGTGGTTCCAACTTTAGCAAAAGTTTTAGATCAGAACTGCTTATGTCATTCAGAACAGAGTTTCAATATTATAATTTCTCATTTGCTTTTTTCACAGAATATAACGGGACGATCCGACCTACCGTAATTACTCGACTCTACCGCGCCCTCGATTGTAACGTGCACCCGATTTCCACCGCGAAAAAAAAAAAAACGTAAGACATCGATTGCAACGCGCACCCATTTTTCTCGCTGGCCCGCACGATCACACCACTCGAAAAAACTACTCCTTTCGGGAGCGTCTCCCATTTAAATATGAGGTATGGGCGAAGCTTATGCCCATCTGACGTGTAACAGAGCATTGCCGTCACTGTAGTTTTATTGTGGACCGATGTCAGCACGCGAACTTGCTTTGCCCCTTTCTTCTCGACGGTTGTGGTGCCAGGCATGTCGAAGTAAAGAGGCATCTGATCAACATTCCCGATTTGCCCAAGCAGGTAGCCGTTGTTGCGTCGCAAGTTTAGGACGAACCTCTGAAAACTGTGAAGCTTTTCATCGTACTCCTCCGCAAAACTTTTCGCATATGCATGTTCCCCTTCGGAGGGAAAAGCCTTTCCTCTTCATAAAGTTAGTTAGCCAGCACTTGCTCACTTTAAACTGGCTCCGCATTAGACCTTTTTCTAAAGCTAATTGCATAGCCCACACTTGGAGCAGTTCTGTCGTCACGGGCCGCTGTGCCGCTCGCTGCTCAAGCACATACTCGCCGAGCAGCTCTTTAGTTTGCGGAAACCGACCCTGCTGTGGTTCACTGAAGCCTTTGCGTGAAGCTTTGCTGTCGACAATCTACTGCTTTTGTTTCCGCCGGTCCCGCACGCACGTTTCGGGAACTCCGAACGACCACGATGCGGCCCGATTTCCATCCGTTTCTGCACACGCGATGACTTTTCTTTTAAAAGCAGCATCGTGGTGCACTCGAGTTTTTGGAGTCGGCCCTTCCACGCCGTCGATGCTGATGCACTACTAGATGACGAACTCCTTAGCACACGTATGAAGTGCCGCACATGGGAAACACATAGGCAGAAATGGCCGACGCGCCATGTGTTGGGGGTGGCCATTTTGGATTTGCCGATGGCAATATATTGACCGTAATTTTTTTGTTCGTACTCGATTCTAATGCGCATGTGATTTATGAACTCGCTTAACCAAAAAAAAGGTGCGCGTTAGATTCGAGTAATTACGGTATGTTGAGTATGCTGGCTTCAGAGCCTTTGCTAGTGGTTATCAGGTTACAGTGTGCATAACTCTACAGCTTTAATCATTTTGCTGCAGTATAACTTCACTCCAGTGGCCTATTTTCAGCAAAAGAAATTCTAAGATTTTGTTTGTGTCTAGTGCGTGCAAGAGTGGGCTGCTGCCGGCTTTTGAAGAGCTAAAGTATACACAGTTTGCAGCCTACAACCTCAACTCGCCACTCCATTATTTGCTAGGAGTGCGGGAGGTGCTTTGTGCACATGTCAGTTGACTAGTTGGAAGGTATGTGCCCAGCTCTGATGTGCTTTGGTTTATCGCTAGGCAAATCTGTGCGTTTATTCGTTGTCGCCGTAGCATTAAAATGCTAGATCAAAAGCACACGCAGTGCAATAGTGCCAGCCAAAACAAGGTTCTAACGTGACAGTGATGGCCACAGATTCACCTAGCGATAAACCAAGGAATATTAGAGTTGCACACACATCCTCAGACTAGCCAATCAATGTTAGGCTGTGCTGACTGTGCCGGAAAGCACGCTTTCCTACGTTTCTTTTCATTGCATATTACCTATTCTCAATAAGTAATATCACCATACCTGCCAAGTTCAAAAAGTCTGAATCAGGGATATTTCTGCATGCAGCCGGGTGGGGGTCGCATTGATTTATTTGCCCCTCCCCCTTTTTTGCGCCGAAAAAAAAAAAGGATAGAAAAAACAACAAGGGAGCAGGGAGGGAGTGAGGGCCGTAAACACCGGCGTTGCGGTCTTGTAATGGCTCGGAGTGGCCAAGCACACCATGGTGGGTTTTCCCAACTACAGTAGAAGGTGCGAGTCTCAAAGAGGGTGTACAAATATTCATATCTCCCGAAATTTTGCATCATCAAAACAACTAGCAAAATCTATTTCTGTCAAAATAACTTCCGCATGTCTTTCTGGGACACACATGAATGAACAGGATGGCACAGCTAGCTGCTGGGAAAGCACAGGTTCAAGCTTTGCTTGAGGTGAACTGAAAACTGAGTGCCAAAGTATACCCAAAGTACGTAGATTAAGAGGAAAAACATTACTAGATTCTTTAGACAGGAACACCAAAACTCTTCTAGCCTCTTTTTATGTCTTTATTGCCTTTAATTTACTGCATTGTCAGCCGTGTGCTCTACGCTAGTAATCACTGTTGATGATTGTATTTCAGCAATCGAGGTTTCGCCGCGGCAATTGTGAAAAATGGTAGTTACGTTTTCTATCCGCATGCGCTGACAGCGCATGTTCCTTTAAAAACCCAAGTCGTTTTTTGCTTTATCTATGATCGCATCTGTGGCGGTTTTGTCTGCAGCGTTTGTGGAACGCAACGTTGCTTTGAATGGTCGAGCGTTGAATGCACATGCACTTTCGCAGTTCTGTCAGTTACTTCGTCGCCATGTCAGTTATGCCATGTTAGTCGCCATACCCTTTCAAGAGCGACCGCGGTTTCATCTAAAGCGGTTGTGGCAAATGACAACCACCCTCACTGCAGTGCGTGCGCTGGCCGTTCACGTATTTCCAAAGCTTCGAGCACGCTGCTCTTGGCCTTCATTCAATGGTTCTGGTACTAAAATTTATACAACCCACCGCGATGAGGAAAAAGTGTTCGGAACATTCAAATTTCGGCCCAATGGACAGAGTGGAATATTGCTGGGAAATTTGACGAATTCATATTTGCCGGTTTCTTATCATTGAGATTCTACTGTACGTTTAATTGAACATTTCCTAAATTCGTTTACAATAAAATGCAATGAGTTCACAGAAAGCCTGGTTCGAATAGAACTATATTTTTTCTAATGCGACCAGATCATGTACTGAAATTTCGATTTCCGGGAAATTTTTCTGACAACCGTACAAACGTAACAACTAGTCGAAATCCGGGAGTCTTCTGAGAAATCCGGTAAACTTGGCAGATATGTATCACTGATGTCATTAATGCTTATAATAAAACAAGATTACTAAATAAAACACTCCCTTTGTGGCACTGTGCATAAAAAGATCTTATTTTTTTTAGGATATGAACTTTAAAAACAATATAAACACAGTACACCACAGGACTGGTAGGCCATTTAGTCACAAAAATGGAATGTCACGTTATACCCTGTGGCATCTTTTTGTGAAGTTTGATGTCAGTACTGCATTCATTTTCAAACTTTATTATGTTGAAACCATGCTCCTTCCTCTAATGCATAATAAAGGTTAATGTGCCCTATTATTAAAATTTTTATTTACGCCAACTAGCCCTGTTGCATGCTTTGTCAAGTGATATTCCCCATCTCTCACTTCTGAAAGTATAATTGAGCATCACCCAGCCTGATTCAAAAGTGCATTTTACCCGCTCACAGGAATGCTTCTAGGCACACAGTCAGTTCCACCTCTACAGTGTCCATGAAGAAATGTGCTGTTTGTGTCAGGAGGGCCGAGTCATCATACTGTTTTCAGTAGGCTTGAGCGAATGGTGAATTTTAGGTTCAAAGCATATTCAGAGCGAATAGTGATTTTGGTTGACTAATTTCAAATCGAATATAGTATGTATCGCATAATATTTAGAATATTTAGAAAAATGGCTTATTTATCATGACCCAGCTAACCTGTACATTATTTTTTCTTAATTGACACGAGACCTGTGCAAATTGCCATTATTTTTGGTTCAAAGGAAGTGTAAACAACTTTGAATAGTAGCAGGATTTGACTTTTGATGGAATGCAAGTGATAACCTATAAAATATGTTGCATTTAAAAATTTACTACTCTTAGAGCATATAAGCTGGTAGAGCAAGATTTCAAACTTAAAAAAAAAATGATGAATCAATGTGAGGGTAGCATGTTAATTTAGTTTTAAAATGGGGCTTTGTGGCAGTGCAGTTTTTTTATGGTTAGGGGTTTAACGGCTTAGGATTCCTTAAAGCAGTGAAACTACCTTTACAGAGGGTTACATTTAAACTAATACACATTTAAACGGATGCTTTCACGGCTTAGCAAACCTTTACTGCAATGAAATCACTTTTGCAGATGGATTAACTCTTTCTTTACCACGCCTATTTAAATCGATCACCAGTGATCAACGCTTTTCTATCATCGATTTTGACATGTTAAATTTATTTCTCGTGCACTCAGCACATTCTAGTAGTTACTTCAGCCACTAAACTTTCAGAATTTTTAAAAATTTGCCGACTTGGGCAACATAGCAATTTTTTTAGACTTTTGCACAAACCAATGTGCGTGTGTACTTGGAAAAATGCACTAGGTTGGTGAACTTGACAGAAGTGCGTACCCTTCATGATTATGCTACAGTAACATCGAAGTTCTGTAATAAAAAGAAACTCTGCAAGCCAAATATCGAATTTATGTGTTAGCGTCGCAATTTGACCGAGTTGAGCAGTAATAATTGTCGGAAATTTATGCCAGCTAATCAATAGAGTGCTGTTGCTAGAAGTAAAAAAAAATTAATTCTACAAAAAAATATTTCTCAAGGTCTGCCGCATGTGTAAATTGTGCAGTTGGATTTCACAGCCAGTTTCCAGCCGCTTTGGTTTTGCTTGTATCGTTATATCTGACACAGGGTCACATCTAGTGTAATTAGTTGCTCCTATTACATGGTCATCACGCGCACATGGGTGCGCATCAGCGCTGCAAAAGGCATTCACTGCTTAAAACTGTCTTGCGACCCCACCTGAATTGAGTGAGAACTAGCTGAGATTTCGTGGATGACAGCACCTCGGCTTCAAGTTTTATGGGGACGATTGCGTCAGCCTGAGATATCCGTAGCCGTTTATGGGTTTCTTTTGTTTACATCCTCAAGTTATCTCCTCCGCCGCAAGTGCATATAGCTCCTGACCTTTGTGCATAATCTTATAGTTTCTCAGGTTACGTGCTTGGTCTACACTTCGCTAGGGCGCGGTGTGGTGGCGCTGGCTACTGAGTTTTCCTAACGGCAAGAAGGCTCCGGAGCACATCTTGGCCCTGACTACAAAGCAGTGCGAAACATTTCATAACTGCATGCGATATTGTTCTTTTTTTATTGCAATATGCAGAAATATGCAAAGGAATATGCTTGGATACATATATTAGAATGCCAATCTATGAGCTGATGGAAAGAGGTGACGCTAAATGAAATAGCGAAGTTCATTGGACATCTCATTTATAGACAGATTATTCACATCACAGGTTTCCATCTATATTAGAATACCTAGAGTCTCTTATCACAAGGCAATAAGAATTTACCGAGAAAAGTGTACGAGTACACTTGTGTCTCACGCAAAACTATGCGATGCTTCACCACGTGGCATGAGCAACGAAGCAGCATTTCGGTTCTGATTTTCTTTGTCTACGTGAAGAGAAACATTTTTGTACAACATTATTTTTATTACTGTTTCTGGGTAATTTATCTACAAGATGTATATTCTGAATTTTCTTTGTTTTGAAAATGTTTGTATATGTAGTGTTTTTTATTCCATTGTTTATCAGCTGGTGATGAAAAATTTCACATGTTCACATTTTTATTCATTCTAAAATATTTTTGTTGCTCTACAACCTATATTTTTTGAAAAGAGCATTTCATTCTCCAAAGTTTGGTATGCTGCAATGCATGCTAGAGTACTTTTCAAACTGGCAAGAATGATCTTCCCGAGACATATGAAAAACAACCATTCTCGCGCGGTAACGAAAGAGTTAATATACACATATTTGTTCATTTTTGAATACTTTAAAATTTTCAACAGTTTAAATTCAAATTGAAGCAAATTTGAATACAATAGTATTGATTAGAATATTTGAAGCATTTCAATGTTTGCAAAAGCCTAGTTTTAGATCTACTATGCATACGCAGCATCCTAATCTTGCATGACTGAGAGGGTGACAAAAAAAAGGAAATTGCAAACAATCAAGCTTTAGTATAATTAATGTTTAAGGCTCTAATAAAGGTTTTTAAGCTTTTCCTTTTTGGTTGGTATTTTCAATTATTTGTGTTTACCCCTGTCATCATGCCACCTCACAGCCAGGTGTTTTTGTCAACCCACCAACATGAAGTGCAGAGGCTTCAGTGTATAAGCTCTTTGTGGCAAAGCTAGCGAAAAAGTCACACTAGTTAAGACTAAATTAACCGAGTCCTCTATTTTAAAATGGTACTGACTGTGTGTCTACATATTACATATATTTAGAATCTACAGAAAAAAATGTCCATTTAGATGAGGAATTTCCTTTCTTTAATTCTAGGTGTGTGTTTTTTAGTGCTTTCAAGTGGCACTTAAAGGGGTAAGACGGTACTTCACAGAGAGTGGTAAGAAGTGTTTTACTGCTGGCTATTTGTGGTAATGGTAGTGAAGAAAATTATGTGTGTCTGCTCTTCTTGCCTCTGGCCTAAGTTACACTTCATGCCACTGCAGTTAATCTGATTACAAATATGCAGAATGTCTGTAGACTTACTCTCGATTAATTTCAAAATGGGACACGCGAAATGGGGTTGCAGATTTGTCGGCAGCTGAGCGAGCAGCTGGAGCGAGAGCAGCGGCGTGCCAAGGAGTCACTGGCAGCACTTCAGGCCAGTGCATGCCCCAGCTGTGCAGCACTGCTGGAGCGAGCCATTGGAGAACACGGCTGGCCTCAGCCGCAGCAGCCACCAGGCAGCGACTGTGGCCGGCCACAGGAAAGCGCACAGTTACGCCAGCTGGAGTTGGAGCTGGCACAGACCAAGTTGGCCCTCGTCGAGGCCCAGTGTCACAATCAGGTACACTGGCTTACTCTTATGCTGCTATTATTAGCCCAGTTACTTAAGGTAACCTCCCACTCTATTTTTGCAGTATTTGATCCTTAGTATTCACTGGTTGGGTACTCCCAGCCATGCAGTCATGCCCTCACGTTTCAACAGATGTCAGCTTTCTTTTTCTATTTTAGATGCGAAGCAGCTCTTTGGCTAGCTTGTGTAACGCTGTCCGTCTGTGTCTCCTTGTGCTAACACGCCGCACAGCACTCCCCTCGCCGCAGGCATCGGGGCGGTGCCAATTAGGTCACGCCTTCCCTCGCAGTGTGCGGTGATGCATGCCACGCACTCGCCGCATGTTACCTCTCGCTCCACCGTTTCCACTGCTCACAACGTTCGAGCACACATTGAGTGAACACTTCTTCAGCTCATTTATTTGCGATGAAGACGACGCCGGAAAGCGAAGCTCCTTTGCACACTGAAACATGTGTCTAAGTGATTTGGCTTAACCCTGCCGTTGTCGGCATTGCAAGGGGTAGCAGTGCTGATCGCGTTTGCGAATGGCGGCGTCGCGCCTGCAGCTCTGACGAGACGCAAGCCAGGGAAGCTGATTACAAGCGTTCGCACTAGAAGACCAACGACACCGACGAGGTGCGACTCAAGCACGCTGATTGCGTTCAAGAATGGAGACAGTGCGCGGGTATCACCAACAAGACATGAGCCAGGAAGCCGGGCACAAGCGTCTTCAACACGTCAGCAACACCGATGAGACGCGAGCCAAGGTAGCCAAGCAGAAGCGCCGAGAGTGAAAGCCAACGCCGGTGAATCCTTGATGTCGTCATCGTCAGCAACGTCGTGAGCAACGTTATGAAAGTGCCATGCGCCCTCTGCTGAAGCGCCCGCCCGCAAGTGCCGGTCTCCGCCGGCTGATGCAGAGGCGACCTGGAAGAATGATCCGGAACCTCTCAAAACGCTCCTGCTCTGAGTGCGTTGCCGTGTGTGTCAGCGATGTAGTGATCCTCGCGCTGTACCTCGCTCACAACCTGCTGAAGGAACAGGTTCAATGCTGTTTGGAGGAGACGCTGACTGATTGCGACGAGGCGTGTTGATGTGTGCATCTTATAGTCATGGGAGACTTCAACGTTGACGTCAGCGGAGGAGAAGGAGAATGGCTCATCAATTACATGCGTGACGTGCACTCGCTGAAGTGCGTGTCGGTAGAACGTAAACTACCCACCACGATAAGGGGAACGTGCATCGATCTGGTCTTTGCCAACTTCGACGTCGAATGTCTGCAGGAACTTCTCAGCATGCACTTCACTGATCACAAGGCTATGGTAGTCAAGTCGAAACGTGCGCCAGCTCTGGTCCAGAGCCCGTGTCTACTCTGAAGAAACTACAAGACCTATGCCATCCATCGCTTCAAACGAATCTTCCAGTGCTCACCGCAGCATCCTCGGTTGTGCCATTCTACTCGTGACGACACCCGTGCGCAATGCTGCTGCTTCGCATCCCATCAGGGTTCCCTTTGGGAAGATGTCGTTAATTTTTCTTGGCTTGCAGAACGGTCTCCTAGTAACTCCTCTGGCACTCTTCAGTTAAGTCTTGTGTCTCATTGTCATGGGCAAGCAACTCATTGTTTAATGGCACATATAATTTCAAGTGGTCATTTTTAAATTGGGGTGTAGTTACAAAGATTCTCGTAGCATCAATTTTCTTTAAGTAACCCCTTCAAGATAAGTGGCCATAAACGCATGTTACACAGCTGCAGAAAATAGGATGTCCTCCTCCATCATAAAATGCACACTTACTTTTCAGCAGCTGGCTATGTTGTTTGCACCACTAATGGCCCCCTGCATTGCAATGTCCTGCACTGTTTAAAACACAGTACCGCAGGAAGTGTCACTCTTTCCTTATGTTCCTTTTTATTGTGGCAATATTCCAAATTCCTGTTCTTATCATACTTGGTTTTGGATACATTTTGCAACAACTTATCGTGCAACAAGTTCTTTATTGTAGCTGCCAGTTGAGTGCACAATACTATTAACACATTCCTAAATAGAAGTACAGTAAACTCATGAAACCTCTGACAGAAGAATTCTGGTTGTTTGTTAGTTCTGTGGAAGTAATACTTCAATTCAGCAAGAGTATAGTATAATAACATGAAAAAAAAATAATATTAATAATTTGTGATTAGTTTACTAACACTGTGTGGAACAAGGTGGCGCAGTGGCGAGTTCACGGGAACGCTGAAAGCCATTTAAAAATGGTGTCAAAAAGTGCACTTCTTGACAGACACAAGGGTTTTGTCTTCTATTTTGTCATTGTTTTATGTATATATATTTTTATAGTAAATGTTGTTTGATTGGTTATACGTTTATAACCTCTGCTATTTCTTTTCATAAGTTGTGACTGCAGATTTTCTTATCAGAGATGCTTTTGTAGTGCATAAAAGTGTGGTCATTGGTTCTTTAGTGAGTACTTTTTGTCTTTTTTTTAATAGCATTTTACTCGAAACCATTTAGTGAAAAGTTTTAAACTTGATGTACCTTCTCTGAAAAATTATGCTACTGAAATTTTCTCAGGTTACACTGAAGTACCCTTCAAATAGCCCGAACCTAAAACCTTTAAAAACGGTTAAAGGGACACTAAAGTCAAATAACAATTTACATCAGAGTGAAAGTTCAGTGTATGACAACATCTAAAACGATCATATTATCAACAACAGTGCACTACTTGCTGAGAAATTAAGGTAATTGCACAAGAACACAAGCGCTGCAGTAGGACATTTTCAAAATGATCCCGATGACATCAGATGGACCGCCTACAATTAATCACTAGTACTCGATCTAACTGCATTAAATAAAGAACCTTCCATGAATCAAGAGACGCAATAAAATGCTGCTTGTTCGTTTCTGTTTGATTAATGGAAAAAATAACCGCCAAACGTTACTATGTGGAATGGCACGAGTGGTTCAAAAATGACGTCACCGACGACACTGACTGACGTCACTGTTGCACTGCAACAGTGACGTCAGTCGATTCGGTTGGTTCGCTTTTTGGGGCAGGTAATCTGAAGCGCGCTAACCCGATGCGGAGCACTAAAACATGATTTTATTTTAGAATAGTCCTTTCCTTGGCACAAAAGTAACTCTACGAGGTTTCTGGACCGTCGTTTAAACAATCAACACCGACTTAATAGTTGACTTTAGTGCCCCTTTAAGAGTTATATAAAGTATGTGACAATTGAGGACAGTATTCTTTTTCATGTGGGAAAAATTTTAAGAGCCCAATTTTCTAGGTAGGGAGTAAGGTCACTGTCATGTGTAAATACATAGTGTACAAATATTCACAAGCATCCTGTTTTTTGTTTCTGAGAAATGGTACTTTTTAACTTTACATCGCTGCCTAAAATTTGGTTCCCAAATACAAAAAGAGTAGAAAAAATAGCAGTGTAAATTTTCGGTAGCGGTGTAATTGCATTAAAGCTTTTTAATGTCAAGAACAACAGTGAGGCTATGGCCAAGCACACATCATCATTGCCTTGTCAATGCTATAGTCATAATTATGCTGCATTTCCGAGCACTTGTGCCAGTTTTGGCACTTCAATCATTCAATCAATTTGTAAATAATCTGCATATCTATCAAGCTTGTATTTTTCTATGAATGATGCAAGTGTGTAGAAGAACAGGTCTAGTGAATTTTGTTGAGATCCACAGACGTCTAAAAATAGCCGGAGTTGGCCTTTAATGACACAAATTTTATATCAAAAATGTTTTAAATCTGTCACATAATTTCTCATGGCACAGAACAAGCAACAAGCTTGAATGCCTTCTCATATGCATGAAAAGGGGGTTAGGCCATAATGTGCATAAATAAATAATGTCCAGTGCCTTTAGTTCATGTGAGAGTCAACTGGTCTTCATTTGAATGCATGCACAGGAGCTACGCTAAGTATAAAAGCGACCACACATTTCCAGTACGAGTGGAATACAACCCATCTTACAGGTGTAGTCCTATTACACAAGTGGCGGCGTTCTGCCTAGGTCGTTTCCTCTAGCTGATTCCAGGCTACAGTGCCAGCATGGTGGTAAAAAGTAGCAGTGCTACTATATGTAGACACTGATGTCAAATTCTGTGAAGCCACAAGGGATGACGTTTTGCTGAATGATGAGTAGCAACTGTATAGAGGAATTTGCACAGTTTGGTTGTATGTAAATTTTATGAAGCATTGTTGCCAGCATGTCCCTAATTGTCGAATTGAATTACCAGCATGGCTGTTCTGGCTGCAGCTACTCATGCAATAAATGTAATAAATGTGATAGCAAAGTGAGAACACTGCACTCTTGTGCCACATGACAAAGGGTCTGTGCTTTTAAAGTTCTTGCCAAATACAGTTCTCCAGATGTTCCCTAGTAAAAGCCTGACTGACCTTACCAAATCACAGATCTCCATTGGAAGCATCTTCTTCTAGACTATGTGCGAAAAAGAAAGCGGGAACACTTGCTTATGCACTATTCATGTCTGTACCCCTGACCTTTATTCTTTGTGTCGGCCAACTAGTAGTTTTCAAATATTTCCTGGATCACTAATTGCAACCTATAGGTTGCAATAGTTCCAGAAAGTTTTTGCTTCACTAGGAAAAAAAAAACACTTTAGACTTGCTTGAAGTTCTAGCTCTTGAATAAATTACTGGGCACCTAAATATTGCTCTTGACAGCAATATCTTATTGCCTCTTTTCTGGACATAAGGAATCTGCTTTTTTGCAGGACTTGACGCACCAGCTAAGCTGCGCTTCAGCCGAACTACAGGCGTCTAAAAGCACCTGGCTGCACAAAACTCTCTCTTCTATTCGTGAGGTGGCACGCAAGGAGTCCTCTGCATCAGGGCTCACAAAGGAGCCAACAGTTCCCTGATGCAACGAGTGTCTTGTGGGCTCATAACCCACATCTGCAGAGGCTGTATCTGCATCAATCATTAGGAGAACCCCTTAATAAGACTGTCCTGGGACATTGGCCAGCGCACATCTGCTCCTACCTGAAGAGCCCAAGACCAGGCAGTGCAAGATGTGACAGTGCCACAATGTACTGACAATTATACTTTTGGAAAGGCTCACTTCTGCATCAATCAACTCAAAGGTGTTATGCTGGTACTACCTCAAGCTGCTACCGCCAAAGGGTCTAGTTGATAGCTGTGGTAGCAACTTGAGAACCAGCTTATTCAGTGGGAACAGATAATATTTAAGAATTGTATACGTCAATTTTAATGACTGCTGTAGCTGTGACAGCTCTGTGCATTGATATTTAGGGGCAATGAGCACTGTGTCACTAGTCTTTTTATCTTAGTCCAACAGCACTAGAGGATGAGAGTGTAGTGCATGTGATACTGGGCTCCGTAAAGGTTTGTCTCCTTCTGTAGTCACCTTATGCCGTGGGTGGTCTCTGGAACATGAAGCACTGTGAAAGGATTACTCATCCTCTGCTGTCTGGTAGCCAGTACATTAACCCAGGCAGCCTGAGTCTCTGAATGTGCTGCGCTTTGACAGGTTGCCCAATGAAAGTTGGCATGTGGAGCTGCAGATCTGAAACAGTAGTGTGCTAGCTTTAAGCGATATGAATGTTCCCTGAAGTCAGACGATGCCTACTAAACTAGGCTAATCTGCACTTTGATCCTGTGACTTGCTAGTCTCAATGATGTGACATTCCATTTGCTTTTTAGCTGTGACAGTCAGTCTTGCTAAACCTGCAGCACAACAATGGCCCTAGTTATGCACCAGTTGAACAATGCAACATTCCTGTGTCACATAATGCGTGTTGTGCAGTGGTTTTGTGGCTTGAATGTTTTAGGCTACCTGAACAATTCCCGGTGTATGGTATATTATGGAGCAACAAACTCACCAAACTGTAAAATTAAGAAGGCCTTTGGATGTGACGGTCACAATAGATGCGAGAAGCTATAAGCTGAAACCATCTTTAATGTAACTATCCTTCCTGGAAGCCTGTACTACATTTTAGTGTGTGAATATCATGTTTAATGGTTCCTGTCTTAACAAAGAAGCACCAAAAGCAGGTAGCATTTTAAGAACGAAACATTTTATGAGCATTTTTATGCCCTGCCTTTTGTTTCTCTCCTATTAGAAAGCTGTATATGGTCTTTACAAATGTGTATCAGTCACTTCTCTCACAAGCTGCATTACTCAATCTGTCATTGACTGATGAGTGGTATGTGCAGTATTGCAGAGCTTTTGTCATCAATGGCAGACCAGGCAATAAAAGCCCCATGTTTCAAGCGTCCTGTTATGGGCACCAACACTTGTGCTCGGAAGTGTAAGGACTTTACTATGGATAGCACTCAGTGCCTCTTGTTGCCTTGGGACCTGTGCTTCTGGGAGGTTTATAACTAAGCATCCATCATGAAATTCTGGCAAGCTAGCTCTTCAGGTATTGTCTTAGAGTGAGCTGTAGTGCACTGCTGTATTTGATTTCCATGAGACATTATGTTGTACAGATCAATATGAGGCACAATACTACTTGCTCCAGATGTTTCAGAAAGCTTTAGATCTTGCTTTTCCTATATGTTTGATTATATTGTGCCCTTTAGGTGCATCAAAAATAGTAATATTCTATGTTGCTATGTGCAGCTTCATTTTCTAAAGCACTCACTTGTATTATCCGTACACTGCTTATTTCATCTTACAAATGTGTTGTGCTATTCATAGCCAGTGATTTGTAATGCTTTTATTTGTGTGTTTTGTAAGCTTGGAAGTCCAAGAGTTAGTGCCAGCCACATGTTTCTACTTATTAGTGCAACCTTTCCTGCTAGATTGACAATGGGGGAAACACAGGGTCTTATTTTCATTGAGTGCCTCCGTCTTCATTAGGATTTGGTACTTATGTCAATAGGTTACGCACAGTGAAAAATTTTGTGCCATCTTTCACTTGACGTCACATGTATCTCTGCTGACTCAGAGGCGCTAAGAATAGTTGCAGTAACTATCAGTGAGATGCTGAGCAGTGCTTCACATTCAATGCTAACATTTATATATGTGTGTCAGTCGCCTTTTAATGTACACATGGCAGTGTAAATATTTGTTATTTATTGTGCTTATACAGCTAATCATTTAACATGGCAGGAACGGCTAAAAATATGCAGGAAGAGTTTTTTATGATGCACCTCAGAAATATGGCAAATAAGAATGGCAAGGAACAAGTGCTGAACCGGAGTTAAACTTATTGATTGTAAACAACATTTGTAGCAGCAAACAGTTTCCAATGAAACCAACAAGCATTGTGAACTGTTAGTGACCAACTTATTGATTGTAAACAACATTTGTAGCAGCAGACAGTTTCCAATGAAACCAACAAGCATTGTGAACTGTTAGTGACCAACTCATTAGTTATTCTCTGTATGATGCACTTGCAACTGCAAAATATTTTTTTTAAATTTTTTTGCATATGCTCTACATGCAATTATTCTGGGGGGGAGGGGGAGGGGGGGATTCACTTGCATGTTAGAATACTTGCATAAAGTATGCAGGCTGTTTTGAAATTTCACAGAAGAAATGAAGGAATCAGTACCTTCCATTTTGTGAGAGGCCAACGCAAAATTTCATAACGGCTTGCAGAAGAAGAGGAGTAATGTATAGCACACTTGTGTAACCAGGCTCTTACGTATTTGCACTTCCATATTAAATATAACACTTGCATTGAAGGCTTCAGGCTGAAACAAAAATGCAAGCCCATCATTGTCTCTAGTGTGTGAACAGCAGTCCTTTTCAGTGAATCCAAACATTAAAGTTGGCATCATATGTGGCAAGGCTGCACTTTTCATTGAAAATTTTGATTGCTTAGACCTAGAAATCACTGATTTCTCCCTCTTTATTAGCAAAGCTTCATAGGGCCATGTTTTATGGGGGCTGATTTTGCACAATATGTCTGGTGATCATATTCCAATGCCCCGCCGTGGTGGTCTTGTGGCTAAGGTTCTCGGCTGCTGATCCGCAGGTCGTGGGATTGAATCCCGGCTGCGGCAGCTGCATTTCTGAGGGAGGCGGAAATGCTGTAGGCCCGTGTGCTCAGATTTGGGTGCACATTAACCCCAGGTGGTCGAAATTGCCGGAGCCCTCCACTACGCGTCTCTCATAATCATATGGTGGTTTTGGGATGTTAAACCTCACATAAAAAAAAATCATATTTTAAGATGCTCTGCTACAAATATTGCTAGAAATTCCCATGGCTTGGATATTTCTATCCATCTTTAGCCTTGACTTGTCAGCATGTGTGTTCCTAACTTGTTCGACCCTTGGAATATTTTTAACTTGGATCAGTATTTATATTAGGCGTGAGGCAAAGACAGGGAAAGAACCTGTGCCACACTTATAGAAACAGTCCCACTGTCCCAGCTGCACCATGTTTTGTACCATTTCTGTATTCCAGGTAATATCAACACTCTGTCAGCAAAGCTCTCCGGTGACTGTAGTGCCCTTTGACATAGGGAATGACACTGCAAAGCTTGCGATAATGCCAACAATACCCCATGAACAAAATTGATAGTTTGGTTGCAGGAGTCTAAATACCACATACTTTTACTGGTCGGCAACCACGAAAATTGACAGTAGCTTTCTTCTGGGTGTGCAAATGTAAAGAGCATCACTATATGCTTGTATTGTGTCAGAAATAAATCTGACACATTTTACATAAGCCTGCAAGCACGTTCTTTAAACATATATGCCAAGTTATACACTTGTATTCTTGATAAGTCAATTTTGATAAGTCTAATATAAATTAAAAGATAAAAAAGCAGCATATTTAACATAATCATCCACTCTAACCTGGTTAACCTATCTTACTTAACCGCAAGGATCTTGCTTTTTTTTTTCTCTCTTGTTTTGTCTCTAAACACTAGTCAACTCCTATCCTTTTGCAGATGCTGCAGTTCTGGCCACCAGCTTCTTGTATTAAGAATAGGTCAGTTTGAGAGGAGACGCTACTAAAAAAAAGTTTCTAATTTCAAATATTTAATTAGTTATATCCCTTTCCGACTCGAACTTTTTCTAGGGCAGAACAAACATTTTTAATGTTCTTTTCGAGATAAGAGGCCATTGAAAAGCATTCATAAAAATAAAGAACAATTATTTTCACAGGAGAACGATGTCCAGTGTACTGGACACTGGGATTTGTTTGTTGCATATATGGGCACACACACACTGCTATTTCCCTTGAGAGAGTGCTGATTTGTCCATGTCAGATGCTTAATTGTCTTATAAAACACAAGCATGGTTCATTATAACCAGAGAAAAAGTCTCTCCTGGTTAGCAGCTGCACATAGCGTTCAGCACCATAAGGGAAAAAGATACCTACAAAGGAGCATGCCTAGCGTCCACTAGTCAACTTCATCAGACACCGCTCTCTCCTCGTGCTTCATGCTCCTGATAAATTCTGAGCATGCCCCAGTTTTATTTTTTATCGCTGGGCTTCAAGATTGTCATGTGACGACACCTCTTTTTTTTTTCCCCTCCATGTTTAGCGCGATGTGCACCAATCGCATCCTGGTGTCTAGTGGACTGGACATAAATACATTCTTGCATTGTCAGCAAACTCCTGATTACAAAAGCTACCTTTTTTTCTATGATGTTTCTATAAGGCATACGACAGCTCGCATGATTTAAATAATTTGAGTTGCACAAAAAATGCTCCTGAAATAATTTTGGATGCTTAACCACATCGTGCGGGTGCATTTCCGTGCATATGATGCCCTTACATTGAGGTGCCAACATAAGAAAATTGGGCTGAAGGAGGAACTACATTTAAAAACATATTGCTCGACTCTTATAGAAGCTGCCAAAGTAGTTTATGTTCTGATTGTAACTCTGCTTACTTTTCTGCATCGCTTTTTTTTGTCATGTCCAGTACACTGGTCATGGGGTCGGAAAGAGATATAGTTTTTGTTTTGCACCATGACAATTTGTAAAATACGGGTCTTTTTGGACAGACTTTCTTTTAAATGCAAATAACTATCAAGAAAGTCTGTATAAGACAGTTTAATTGTAATATGAGTCAGGCTTTAAAGGAGATGATTGCACTCTTCACATGTTAAGAAATATGTGGAAAATATTTCGTACCGATCTGGCCATCAGAAGTACCAAAGACATGATGTCAAAACTCAAGAAGTTGCCCAAAATTACATCTAGTGAAAAACTCATTTCTAACATAGAATCAAAACCTTATTCGTCTGGCCAAGAAATGCTTTTTAAAATGATTTGTTCTATCATGAGAAGTTGGAAATCATGGTTATTTTGAGCATGTGGCCTATGTGAACTACTCATGCAAAATGCGATGGCAAACAGACAGGTGATGAGATCTGTTGTTAGTTTTTAATTGCCACCACGTGCTCTCTAAAATGGATTTTAACCTACTTCAATATAAATTGCAACCTTGATATATAGCTCAACGGCACTTTTTAGAAGTCAAATAGGAGAACCAAGACCGAGACCTGCTCTAAAAGAATTCTTTCAATAGCTCGCATCTTTATTGGTGTGAACTAGCTTCTCGGAGCTTCTATTCACCTTGTGAATAGGCTAGTGCACTGAAATTCGTATTGACTTTTTCGTAGCAGTTGCTCTCACCTGTAAATGCAGCTTTTAGCACCTAAAACTCGTTAAGCCCTAGCAACTAGCTACTATTTCATCTTTGGAACAAAGTATCAAAGGGTATGGCTTCGTGATTATAGCCTAGCTAGTGCATGGTAGTACTGGTAATGGGCACAGAATACTAATAAACTATGGGCTTACCAAGTCTAGCTGTAGATATGCAAGTTTTGCATGCATTCATGATTGTAGCATCCCACTGTTACGAAAGGTATGTTGCCAATTCTGAAGCTATAATTGAAGCATGCTGCAAGGGTGGCGAATGCTACCGCCGTCTATATATATATATATGTATATATATATATATATATATATTTTTTTTTGTAAACAACCAGAGTGAAGTGCGTGATAAGCATTATCATTCTTGTGCAATAATTTCAACTCGAAGGCTAACTTGCTCAAGTTCGTGACTAGTTAAGATCGATGACACCAAAATTAGTTGTAGTCATTTTTCTCTCCTAGTTCAAAAGCTAAACCTAAATGTTTTGTACACTCTTTAGTCAAAATGTGCTGCTTGTAGGGGGCTCGTATGGACACAACTTTGTCTTTTATTACAAAAATCTTCTTGATGCGCTACAGGCCAGCACCGGCCTCGGTTGATTTTAACATCGTAACGAAGTATTACAATTTCTGAAGCATCCTTTCCACATATCTGCTTGCAAGTTCAGTACTACCATTCAAGGTGGCGAATTTAACACAGTGAAACCGAAAGTGCCTCTTCAGAGTTCTGTAAATATACCTGAAAAATGCCAGAAACTTCAACTGCGCCTTAAGATCACTCAGCGGGGTGCTTTCTACGGACATCCCGCCTCTGATGGGGGTGTTAACATAAGGCTTGATTAAAGTCTAGTTTTAATATAACTGTTGCAGTCTAGCACTTTTCTACAGCCTTGCGTTGCCCCGCCGCGGTGGTCTAGTGGCTAAGGTACTCGGCTGCTGATTGGACCTTCAAGGCCCCCTGGCCGAGGCAACACACCCCTTTTGGCCCCGGCTTCACGTAGATGGCACCCCTGGGCTGACCCATCCAGGGGAAATAGGCAGTCGCCTTTTTCTATCTCCCTCCCCCTAATCTTTGTCTTTATCTCTCACTTTTTATCTGTCCTGTCATCATCTCTCTTTCGTTTACTTCCAAATTTCCTGGCGGCGAGGGTTAACCTGGTGTAGCTATCCAACCTAGGATAATTATAACAGGTTATAGCGGCGATGTATGGCTGGCGTCTCCAAGTGTTAGCTTTCAACCTTGTAGCGTCCCCATGTTGGGCTCGGTGGTGGGTGGCCACCATCGCCGCCGAACTTTATAGTATTTTTATGGCAAAAGCTTTCCCCCCCCGTTCCTGATTGCTCTCTAAAAAGGTGACGCACCGAAGACATTTTCCTGCCTAACGCACCGATGCCGACATTCCGAAAGTACTATGTTATCCACAGTCAAAACGAAAAGAAGACGGTCCGAGCCATTTTACCTTTCCTCGTTTCCAGAACTCTCACAGAAGCAATAGGCCCAGGTTATAAAGTGACAAAGATGGGAAGTGGCAATCTTCTTCTGTAGGTTCGTTACGAAGCTCAGTATGAGAAGCTGTCTAAGCCTGTAGTGTTTGGAGAAATCCCTGTTTCGGTGGGCCCACACAGGTCCATGAACACTGTCCATGGCGTAATTTCCGATGATGATCTTACTGAGCTTTCTGAAAGTGAGCTGCTCGAAGCTTGGCAGAACTAGAATGTGGTCAAATTCCAACGAATAACAATAAGGCGCAACGACAAACTGACCCCTGCAAAACACGTAATAATTACCTTCAGAATAAGTGACCTACCAGAATCAATTGAAACTGGCTATTGTAAGCTCCGTGTAAGACCATACATTCCCAATTCTCGTCGATGTTTGAAGTGTCAACGTTTCGGTCATGGATCGCAGAGTTGCAGAGGGTGTGCCACTTGCACAAAGTGTGCATCCGTTCAACACATATCGGACAACTGCACCTCAGAAACAACTCATTGTTCGTACTGTGAAGGAGATCACGCTGCCTGCTCATGATCATGCCCCGCATGGAAAAAAGAAAAACAAATAGTAGAACTTAAGATCTAATTCAATCCTTCATTCCAAGAAGCACGCCAACGTTTCGCACTACAAGAGCCATCTTATCTCTCCGCAGATGTGACGTGCTGGGGCGCCGCA